ACAATCATAGTCAACATACAAGAAAATAATTTGGTCAAAATCAAACCACTGGTAGCTGAGTTACTAGTGGTTATTAAATGGAGTATTTCAGGACCAGAGCTATGTAGACACCCTAGAACATGTTTTTGCCACTAGAATGGATAGGTGAGACACAGCAGAGAGGTTGCGGGGTCATGTACATCTTAAGTATTTCCAGAAGAAAGAGATCTGTCTTTATCAGGCTTTAGTTCCATCATCCTCTGTAGTCAAAAGGGTTAGTGTTTGTCTATCTGCCAGACATGTCAGAGCCCTTAACATGTTTAAGCAGATAGTTGATGCAAAATTGATGGGCGTCTGATTCTGCTGCTGTACAACAAAATTTGAAGCCATCAGGCTATTTGTTTCTGTGATATTAGCTTTGAATTATCTGCCCTTAGACCTTGAGCTTTGAGCCATGAGATTTTGGTGGTGTCTGTTTCAGATTCTTGCAGACCTTGCTGAATTTCTTGGAGACCTGGTCACTGGTTTTTTAAGTATCTCTCAACCAAAAAGCAGCAGAATAAAAAATGATAATAAACAGAACAAGTGCAATAGGGCCTAAACTTTGGTGATTATAATATGGCTTCCAGCCTTTCTGCTTGAAGGCCTATTTATTAGTGCATTTGTTAGTCACTATCTTCTATTCACGATGTTGGTTGTGAAGAGTACATGATTAATGTGATAAAGTCAGGAGTAGTATTTGTTTGTTTGTTGTTGAACGTTGCACTCAACAATATTCCAGCTATGTGAAGGCTGTCTGTAAATAATCCATTAATTGACATCATGAGCATTGATCTGCAGAATTTGAGGGCAATGACATGCTTCAACCAAGTCAGTGAATCTGATCTGACCACCTGATCCTGTTAATCACCTTTTGCGACAAGCATGGGTTGATGAAGACCAGATCTTCACGGTTAGTAGTATTTGTGACAGGTGAGTTTTATCCTTGATGTGAACACAGAAAGAGGAGAGCTCTTGAGTTCAACTGGGAGAAAGTTTCACAGTGAAGGACCATGGGATGTTAAAGATCTTTGTCCAAATTGTCCAGATAGTCCAGATTGAGTTTGTCCATGGGTTGTACTTCTCCACCAACTCCCAAATGAAAAGAATTCTGTCTGGGAGTACCATAACGCCCATGGTGTGGCACTCTTTCATGTGCATGACCACTTTGCTTATCAAACATGGAAGTGAAAGAGCTCAATTCAATCTACTCCATGAAACTGGGAAAATGTCCACCGCTTAACATCCAGGACTCCAAAACTTGCGTTATAATGTGTGGCAAATCCATCCCCTGAGAAAGAACCCCAAAGAATGTTTAAATACAAGGGAAAACACAGTATGAATTCAGCCTGTCTCTCCATAATATCAGCTTGCTCCAGGATATCAGCCTCTGTTAGTGTTAACCTTGTCCATACGAACTACCTCGGCTCTCAACTTCATAGTAGACAAATTTGAAATGTAATTCTGTTGTGTCATTATAACATTATGCATAGACACAGTTTGTCCAGCTAGACAAAGCTGTATCTCAGGTACACACACTGATTCTGTCAAATTTGAGTAAGCGCATATTTTAGATTGCATATTTTATAGGAAGAAACTGCCAGCTGGCCAGCCAGTTCATCACCGATGCAGACCAGCAGCCTCCTGCCTGTTTCTCCACAGCTTTGTAAATGGCTTGGTTAATTTTTAAATCAATATTTTTTAAAACGGATGAACATTGAATGTATTAAGATGCTTGTTCTGTCCTCCCATGTGAAGCCCAGGAATGGTGTGGATTCTGCCTAAAAAGAAAAGTGGTGTTATGCAGATTTAATATCAAATGAGAACAACCAAGCACCTGCAATCAAAAGTGTTTTAACATGCCAATATTTTCCATTTTGAAATGTTGTTTGATCTAGAATCAAACAGCATTTGTTATTTTTGACAATTTAATCCTCACTACTGTTGGTCTTGTTCTGTATTCTGAATATACCCTATTTGCAGAAAAGAAACTATTTCTTTATATTGGCAGTAGCGACTAACCTCGCCTAGATGAACACTTCGAAGCTGACTGGTGTTCATTTCCCGATGAACATCAGTACGTCCCATGATTACGTTGTCAATCAAGTGAGACATTCAGAACTACTTTAGGGGAGGAAGATATATATTATATATTATCTATTCTTACTCCTTCATCAGCTGAATGAATGTCACTTCTAAATGCCTTTCAAAGACCTGATACTTTCAGGGAATTCCTCAATGTCTAAAAATAACATTAAAAATCTTAAGGGAAAAGTGAGAGCGACATAGATTCAGGCTATGAATGATGCAGGCTTTAAAGCTAGACAGATCATGTATGTCGGATCACTGAAATAAAGCGTCCATTCGAAGCTATAACAGAGAATGCTTGACTTACCAAAAGAAATCACTGAGCTTCACACTGTCACAAATTGCTTCAGGAAATACAACCGCGCCGCCTCAAGCGGTAATCTCCACATTAGCAGCCGTAGTATGACTCAAACACACACCAAAAGTTCGCAGAATGTTAATATCAATCCATTTTCAGCATTAGCCGGGTCTAGATTTCTTTCGAATGCTAACTTTACTGGATGAAACTGTTAGTATAAGGATTGAAGTTGTATTTGTTGACGTTCATCAGCTGATGAATGTCAACAATTACAACTTCAATCCTTAACTGAAACAAATTCTGAAATGTCTCTTGCAGATTTGTTATTTTGAAAACACGCCTTGGTGTTATGTTGACAAAATGTTTTTTATTCCCAAATTTAACTACATAAGATTATACATGTAATTCAAATCTGTAATAGTTTTCCGAAAGTGTGTGTACACCTAAACCTGTACCTAACCTTGCTCTGCTCTTCTCTGGATCTGAAATATAATATTTAGTGTTGGAAAAATCACCTCGATAAGTGAGTGAGTTACCGTGACCCGAATCTAAACAAACTAATTCATGTTCAGTTTCATTCACAAATGTACTTAACCTTTTTTCATCATATCCAAACGGAGATTGCAACTGCAAAACACTAACACTCAAATGCCCAGGCTCCCTGCATCAAGCCCCGCTGTTCCAGAGAACTGTCATTGTTGCTGGAATGGCATCAGCAACTTGCTTGGGTTTCCTATATTTTCCTTCTGGTTTTCCCATGCCCTTTTCACCACCCCTTTGTCAAAAGATCATCTCACTTTCTTGTACTTCTGGTTCTGCATTTCGTAAGAGGCTGTCCGGATGCATTCTCGGACTTGTTCTCAAATGTTTCTCATTTCCCTTTCTCTTGAACTGATGACGTTCACCAGATTTCAACTTCTTGATCTTATTGATGCTGGATTGGATTACTCTACAGATCCTGAAACTTCCTGTCTATTGAACTTCCATTCTGATCTAACAAGTATTCCTTCTTTCAAGGGCCATCACTCCCTACGATGATCACTGCAGTTTTCGTCTGACATATTCATTATGATCGTGCCTAAAACCGACTGTCACCAAATGTGCAAACATTTGAATGACGTACACCCTGCACTTGTACTCACAATGCACCTTCTACTACTGGCCTCTAGCCAATAACAGACTCATTCTCTGAAATACTTCTGTATTTGGAATAAAGCTTTCCCTCCACAGAAGATTGAGTTTCCTTTAGTCTGTTGAGCAAACAAAATCCTTTGTAATGCTTAGGAGACATGTTTCTCTATGACAATCTCTATCATGTCTGTAGGCAGACCGGAATTTGTCATGCAAGATTAAGGTATTCACAATGAGATGTTAGCCATATTTTCATTTACTTCTCCAGGCTTTTTGACAAGGATGACAAGTTGGATTCTTTTTTCAGTGATGGCTTGATCAATGCCATCATTAGTCTTGCTGGCACATAAACAGACTCCAGGCAGAAGTTAACAATTCTAGTACTTACTGGCAGTTGGATATCTGATCAAGAAGCACCTTGGTAGGAAATGGATCCAATTGACAAGAAGTTGATCAGCAGTGTTAAGAACATCAGTTTCTGAAAATGGCATCAGTGTATTTAAAGTCACAACTTCAGAATGATCACTTAGTATGCACTCTTGTCATGGAATAGAGGTATTTCGAAGGTAGTATGCGCTGCATGTGACTTGGCAGGCGTAACATACATGGTCAAGGTTCTCCAGATGGGACAATAGTCCACATTTTAAAGTCTTCTTTAATTTTAAGGTATATTTTGAAGCATTAATGAAACATGATAAATTGCTTATTATTGCAACCTTAATTTTGATTAAGGTACCTGACATCTCAGTGAAAGGGTTCTGAGACGCAAGTTACACATATGTGTGAATCGACTATAACAGCAAAGGCTAACTTTGAACAGTGCGCCGCTCATGTACCTGATTCCAACACTTACCTAAAACATTTCATAATAAAAACATCAACCATGTCTGCAAAAAGATGATCAAATTTCTAATTACAAGTATTGTTTTTCAATTTGTGTGCATTTATCGATGGATACCAGTCTTGTACTGAGTTTGTCAGTTAGCAAATCGATTATTTAGTGTTGTTGGGGACTGGATTTCCTCAGTTGCACATTAACCTGGATGCATAATGCTTTATAGTTATTGAAAGTACAACATAGAATTTCAACGTTTGTTTACACTTGCCTTTTAATCTGGATGTGACACACATGAGGTATTTTACTTGAGAGGTGAATTTCAACAATGACTAACTACTCGGTTAGCTCCGGATGACATGGTCACTGAATGTTGGTGGTAAAGGGGAACCATTGGACATGGTGAATCACCACTGCTGGCACAGGCCAAGCTGCTGAGGCTCAAATCTTTATCAGGATGTAAAGAGGCAAAGATTCCACAATTTAGTAATTTCTAATAATCTTTTGCATTCCATACCTATCATGACTGTGTATATGCATTTTGGTTTGGTGTATACATAGAAGACTAAACATGCTGACGTTAAGATCAGGTTGTAAGGCTGAATGACATCAAGGTGGTTTCTCTTGCAGATTCCAGTGAAAGCATACACAAGCAGAGATGTCTGTGACCGATGAAGTTGTGATGCCAACCTCAGATAGCTTCTGGGAGTTGGGCAAGTTCATGAAGACAGTGAAGAGATGTGACAATGGCTACAAATTGTGTGATTCTCTGAGACAGTTGGTAGAACAACGTAGCGAGATTGAAAGAAAGTATGCCAAGGACTTGGTTCAGTGGGCGAAGAAATGGAACAACTTCTTAGATAATGGTAAAGTATTAATATGTAACTGATATATGTTATATTTTTTACTTATCCTGCACACTAGAGACAGTCACTCCCTCTCCTGGCCTAGAGGTCGATAGCAAGACAGCCATCCGTTTGGACCCTACCTTGCTCCCAACGAACCTGCTGATCATGGACATGATTTTGCCCCAGGATGAGGACTTCAGCAAACTTTCTCTGACTCTGTCCTTCAGACCCCCATGCTATAAACAAGGTGACTACCTGGTTCACTCTCTCCATGTCATGGACCACGCTCATGCTTTAGATCAGGATCTTCACCGCATGACTGGGTCCAACCGCTCCACCTCAATACCTCTGACAATAGACTCACCTATGTGGAGATCGAGATTTGCCACACTCTCAGGCCTCTCTCACTTATGGCTTCATTCTACAGGACTTGTCGGAGGATAACCCTCATATGATCGACCACCTGACCACCGTCGTATCCTACCTCCAGCAACAAGTCGAGCATATGCACTCCCATATTTGCGCAGCCCTGATTGAGCTTACAAACATGAGACGCCTGGGCTACCTTGCTCAATTGGACTGGGACTCAGAGTTAAAGAGAGATCTCCTTCGTTAACTATGGTCCAGATCCAGGCACAGGATGTGCTCATCAGCCTGGATATCAAGGACATCTACCTACATGTCCCAATACATCACGGCGACCGGAAATTCCTGCGATCCAACTCGGTGGGAGTCTATTACCAATGGTTGGTTTTCCCATTTAGAATTTCTTCGGCCCCGTGGCTATTCACATGGCTTACCAGCCTATAGCCTCATACCTCCATCTCCGGGACATTCAGTTCGAGGCATACATAGACGACTGCCTCCTGAAACATTGGGACACTGTCGCTCTACTTCGCCACAGGGACTTAACAGTAACAGTTAGGTAGAAGATCAAAGTTGACATCCTCAAATCGCCTCCAGTTCATCGGGGGCCTCTTCCAGACGCACTTCGACCTCCTCTCTGTACCCCAGGACCGATTGGAGCGCATGCATTCGCACCTGATCCCAGCTCTCCACCTACCATGCACTCTCCGCCAATGGCAAGTCCTTCGATGCCTCCTAACCTCAGCGCAGGACATGACATACAGAGGATGGCTTCAACTGTGCCCAGTTCAGATGTTCCTGGCTCCCTACATCAGATGCCAGGACCCCTCGGTATCCATCGTCCTCCTCAATGCCTTCGCTCTTGCTTGTCAAGACCACGGTCTCCCCAACTCTCTCACTTAGGTTCGTCGACCTCAAAGAGCTAGCCAACTCCAACTGACTGCCACTCCCAGACCGGCCAAACCTGCTGATCCACCCTCACAGCAGGCAGCCACACCCAGGACCAGACAAGTTATGTCTTCACGTCTGGTCCATTTACAGAGAGCACTGAACGCTAAGGGCTACTGGCCAGAGCGGCTAGGGCCATGACGATGGCACATCGCCCAACCACCATGAGCCTCTATGACGACAAGTGGCAATCCTTCGACGGCTTTTGCAGTGGCAAACAACAAGACCCCACTACTGCATCGCCTCAATTCCTGGCCAAGTTCATGCTCTATCTTCGCCAAAAGTGTAAGCTGAAGGGTAGTACCATTGCGAGTTACCTTGTGGCACTCAACTCCGTCCTGGCAGTTCTGGAAAATCGTGGAACTACAGGCTCTGCTCCGCTCATTCAGGTTTGAAGACCAAAAGGCGAAATTTCATCCACCAGCTGAGAGACGCACCCTTCGATTCGCTTGAGGCGATGTCATTCTACAATCTGACGAAAAAGTAGGGTCTTCCTACTGGCGCTCGCTACAGCAGCCCGTGTCAATGAGTTACACGCCTTGGAGACCCGTGAAGAGCCGGGGTAGAATAGGTCTTCAGCAACCCATGCTTGCTGTTAAAGGGGACTATGCTTGTCCTTAGAGGCAACTAATGGGATCAGGTGGTCGCTCGCTGACAACTGCGTGGATCAATGCTCACGATGTCAATCACTGGATTGTCTGGTCCAGACTTGCTTATTGCTGAGTGCGGTGTTAAACAACAAACAAACAAACAAACAAACAACATGCCTCGGACGTCAAGTGCGTCCGCTTTGAGCTTGGGGCACACAGAGCTGTGTATCTTGGACTGTGCTGGGACTTCATTGCCAAGAATCAACTCCCAGGACGTCCAGATAGATCGTTCCTCATCCCTCCCCTATCTTCTATTGTGGGCGCGGAAGATGAACAAGAGCTCCGTCTATGTCATGTTACATGACAATCCAAGGAACGCCGTACACAAATACGACGCCTCTTCATACCAGTATCTGCGACCTCACGAGCAGAAGTCGGCTGCAACACAATCACCCTCTGGCTACGAGCCATCATTCTCCAGGCCTACGAGGTAGCGGGATTGGACCCCCCACGCTCAAACAACCCCCATGAGATCCAGGCGGTCACCTCCACAAAGACGCTACACAGCAACTGCTCACAACGTGCCATCATGGGTGTGTGTTTCTGGCGATCAAACACAGTCTTCGCCAGTCACTACCTGCGAGAAGTCGCATTGGAGGATGTGCAAGGCACAGTTTTGGTCCGTTAGTAGTGGCCCAACAGGTCACCACTACTAAACACTACCACTACTACAACCACTGACCTTGCCTCCAAGTCCAGAGCTTATCCTGCATTTGACTGTCAGTCTATTTGATGGAAAAGTACTAGAGTATTATTCTTAATTGCCACAAGTCTTTCAGTCTGAATCAAGAGAAATGTTTCTTGATCTAGTAAGCTCAGCTTAACATAGTTCATATATCAACACTGAAATTTGTTGAAAATAATACCTTGATCCTGTTGCCTTGATTAATTATTATTAGGGCTGGCTATCGATATAGATCATAGAGATTGATAATCGCTGACTAAATATTGATCAAGTATCGATAAATATCGGAGAGGTAACTTAAAGCAAATATGCCAGAAAGTCTTGAAAGAAATCAACATATTTCAAGCCACTGGTGAGCAGTGACACATTTATCATGTTTATGCACGGATTACTTTGTGGACATTTGAGATATTACAAGAAAGAGTTGCTTTCTGTCTTCGACAATTGACATAAGTGACACTAACAAGTCTGTTTTGGTAAATATAAACTGAATTTCATCATGGTAGTTTATCTAAGTTATTATTGATTACAACAATTTCATATAGATAATTGTTACTATTCCTTCCCTTTGACGTTAATTTTGATTATTGATCTTTTTAGCCAGCCCTAATTATTATTATGCTAGGTAAAGTAAAGGACATTTAGTTTTGTGTTTGTTCATTTGCTAGCATTTTCTGGTTGTATTTTTGCAACAGGTTCAGAGTATGGCACAATGCAGGGAGCGTGGCGAGGAGTTCTGTGTGAGGCTGATAGTCTCTCTGATTTACATACTCTTATTGGAGACAGATTAATGTCAGAAGTGTACCATTCTGTGAAAATCTGGCAAAAAGAAAACTATCACAAATCCATGATGCATTTCAAAGAAACAAAAGAATTTGAAGACAGTTTCAGAAAGGTGAGTACTATTTACTCTACTAAGACTACCATTGAAAATATATGATTGTGATTGGTAAACCTGCCTGATTGTTTAGTGGAAAATTTCAGTCAGTGTAGATTTACTGTATCAAAAGAACAAGATTTGCTTTACCAGCTGCAGATGTGTGTGGGGTGTCGTCCCTGGTACTCGGTGAAGCTCTTGACACTAATTCCTTAATCAACGTGATGGGCCTACGGAAGTGTGACCCCAGCAAGTGTGATTTAGGTGTGCTGTAAAATCCCCCCAAGCCTGATAATAATTAATTTGCCTTCTGCAAGTCATAAAGTATACCGTTTTTATCTAACAAAAGTAGGATTAGACAAAATGTCAAAAATGCTTCACCTCAACCACCTTGCACCGTTGCATCGTTGTGTTGTGAGTTTTCAAGTGACGATACGTTACACGATATGTCTTTTTCTGTATCAATACCATGAATACAGGACTGACACACTTGCTGAAATAAATTACTTACTACTTCTGAAATGACCCCCCAGTGCTTTGTGAGTGAAATATCGCAAGATGTGTTGTAATTAGCACTCAAGTTCACTACTGAAAGTAGCTGCTACGAGCATCTGTCTAGCTTTTCCTTTTGAACCTGCTCTGAAATATTGGTTGATGCCCTGACATGTCTTACAACTCAGAGACTCTCTCTCTCATCACGACTGACACCCATTTGTGGTCTTCCCTTACTGTCACCTTTATCGACAACATCGTCCCCGTCTCCGGTGTCACCATTCACAGGACCGGCTTTTCCGTCTCTTCTGCCATCTATGTTGACAGCAGCGGCGTCGCACTCCTTGGTTTCCACGGCTCCTTCAGCTCTGCGGTTATCTCAACTTTTCCTCGGCACCTGCTATCCTCTACTCCACTTCGGCATCAACAGCGCTGCCTGTGCCCTTGGCTTCCACAGCTCCAACGTATTGCCTCATCAGCGCTACTGGCACCTCCTATTATGGCTCTCATCGTTCTAGATCGTCACAACGTTCTCGTATCCGCTCCTGAAGCCTCTCTCCGGTAAGTCGTCGTGACTATAGTTCTGATTCCTTGGAGGGATCTTTTCAAACCAGTAGACATTTGGTCTGACTGTTTGGCTGATCTTCTGGCTTCTATTGCTCCATCTCCGGGCTCTGGCGTGGATGAGACACCTTATTTGGCCCTAACCGACACTCTCCTTTCAAGACCCTATATTGACCGTTCTCACCTTCTGCTTCTTCGACTAGGTGGTCAGCCTGGACCTGCAATTTCTCGTTACGCACAAGGTTGAGAGCATGTTCTGGCACAAACTCTGTCCAGGCCGGGTGGTAGCTCTGCTCAGACCTGTTCACCTTGATCTGCCAATAGATCGTCTCCCCCAACATCGATCTATTCACCGCATCCTAGAACTGCCAGCGGACATCCTACATCTCAACGGTGCCAGATCCGTCAGCTATGGCAGTCAACGCACTCAGCGTTCCCTGGGGAGGTTTATCCGCGTATGCGCCGGCTCTCCTTCCCAGGGTTCTTCCCTAGACCTTCCGGTGTGGCTCAACCTCCTGTTACACCCACACAGCAGATTGCCACACCCGAACCCCGCCTGGTTTTGTATGCACACCTGGCGCTTCTGTTGAATGCCCTGGGAGCCAAGGGCTACTCAGCTTGAATGGCCAAGGTTTTTGCTTTAGCCTATCATCCGTCTACACAGGGACTGTATGTTGACAAAGGGTGCTCCTTCCAGGCCCTCTGCTCAGACAAACACCAGGATCTGTTGACAGCGTCCCCGCAGTTTCTGGCAGAGTTTCTCCTTTATGTGCGCAGCACAAGTCGGTTGAAAGGCTCTACCATCTCTTCATACCTGGTCGCCATTAACTGCTTGCCATCTCTGTCAACTGGAGAATGACGAAAATCCCGGCCTTGCTGCGCTTGTATCACTTTGAAGATCAGTAAGCCAAGTTCAGACTGCCTGCGTGGGAGCTTTGGTTATGCCTGCTGTGGGCATTGAGGGTTTTCCTATGACGGGTCAGAAGCCTACCACAAGTCTAGGAAACGCTTTTTCTTGACAGTCTCTCCCCGCCCCTCCCTCCCCAAGGCTACCAACACTCAAGAGATCAGAGCAGTTCATAGCAACTACTCCATCAAATCAATCATGGAAGGCTGTCTTTGCCAGCCACTACCGCCGTGACGTAACCTTGGATAATGTCGCTGGCGTCCTTGGTTTTGGTGGTATACAACATGCCTTCAATCCCCGATGTTGCTGATTCTCCGATACACTGAGTGGGGCCTGTCAAACTCTCTGGTGTTTATCACCCAAAATTAGAGGGCTCTCCTTCGTTCCGCATTCGTCACCTAGTCTGGTTTTCCTTTTTGCATCAACTCTTGTTTCCAGACGACAGGAATGGTCGTAGATGTTTCAGTCATCACTTGTATGCGGTGCAGGTTCATCAGACTTTGAAGAGGGTTTATTATGGATCACATCTGAAGGTATGCCCACTGGCTGTGCTGTCAGATAAAAATACATTGAGGAGTAATACAGAATAAGTTAAAAAATCAAGTAAAATCTAAATATTTTTTACATTTGTATGCTGATCCTGCATTACATCGTCTAAGTGCCCTCCCTTCGCTACACTGCCTCCCCACAAAGTTTCAGATGTTGTGTTTAAAGCAGTTATGTCTTTCGATGTGATGTCATTACTTCCGGGTCACGTGCCGACTGTGCGAGGGTGCTGCCTCTACTGGTTGGAACAACTTTTCTTCAGCAGCTGGATCTCACACAGTTCATCTCTGTCAGAAAACATGAGTAATGCATGATAAGTATACAAATGTAAAAAATATTTAGATTTTACTAATATTTGGTTATAAAAGTGTTCATTGTGTGTTTTGACTTACCTTTGTAATCTATTATATTAATTTTATTCAACATTTCATTTATTTTGTCAAAAATTGTTTGTGAACTCAGTGTTTGCATTTACAGTGTCCCATATACAAAAATATGCACTGGGAAAAAATAGGACGCAAAAAAACCAACATACACACGTCCCCTTACGCTTTTTTCATTTTGAAAAAAGTTCACTTCATGCATAACTTATTGTTGTTTTCTTTCATGTTTCTCTTGCTCCCAAAACCCATGTGTTAATTTGTATCCAATATTCGCTGGGTTCCGGTGCTAGCCAGATTTCGGTGTGAATGCGGGAAACTGAGAGGTATCTGATGACATACGAGGGGATATCAAAAAGTTTTGAGCCTCACACAGAAAAAGTAAAAGAATTGGATTGTTACTACTTTATTTTTCAACATAGTCCCCTCCCAACTCCACACACTTGTTCCACCTAGTTTGCCAGTCACTGATGCCCGATCGGTAGAAGTCAACATTCTGGTCCCCTAACCAACCCTCCACAGCAGCAGTTAGCTCATCGTCATCTTCAAATCTCTGGCCCCGGACGTGTTTTTTCAGCCTGGGAAAGAGGTGGAAGTCACTGGGGGCTAGGTCTGTAGAATAGGGTGGGTGAGGGAGGAGTTCATAGCCACATTCTTGCACAGCTGTCATTGCAACACGGCTCGTGTAGACTGGTCCGTTGTCCTGGTGAAGCAGAATCCCACGACAGATTTTTCTACGGCGTTTCACCTTGATGGATTGGCGCACCTGCTTCAATAACTTGTCGTGATACTCCCCATTCATTGTGGTGCCATGGGGCAGGTAGTCGATGTGAATCACTCCTTTGCTGTCCCAGAAGATGGTCATCATAACCTTCTTGGTGGATCTGGTGGCTTTGAACTTCTTTGACTTTGGAGAAGTGGCGTGTTTCCATTCCATGGACTCCTGTTTGCTCTCCGGATCATAATGATGAACCCAGGTTTCATCACTGGTTACAATCCTAAAATGAAAATCATCTGGGTTGGCGTTGTACCGAGTTAGCAAGGCTCCACTGATGGTGACCCTTGATAGCTTCATGTCATCTGTAAGTATTCTCGGGACCCATCTGGCACACACTTTGGACATGTGGAGTTTGCCATGAATTATATTATGTATGGATCCATATGATAGACATGTTGTTTCTTCTAGCTCATGGAGAGTAATACGGCGGTTTTCCATCACTAGTTTGTGTACAGTGTCAATGTTTTCAGGGCTGGTACTGGTTGATGGCCGTCCGGACCGGGCATCATCTTCTAAGCTCTTTCTGCCACGCTGAAATTCCTTCACCCACCGTTTGATAGTTGCAGACGATGGGGAAGACTCTCCATAAACTGCAGTCAATCGCTCTTCCACCTGTTTGGCAGATTGACCCTCTAGGACAAGGAACTTTATCACCGCTCTGTACTCAGATTTGTTCCATTTTGCCAATTCACTAGGGGTAGGTCTCTTCCACGAAGTGTTGTGACAAAATAATTGCAGCCTGCAATATGTTTCTACATAGCATCAGTAGCTAAGACATTCATGTACATCAGGTGTAGCGCATTGTACCATTCGACCATGAATACTGTGTGAGGCTCAAATCTTTTTGATATCCCCTCGTAGGTTTCAAGAAAGTTTGCTTGAAGAGCAAATATACTCTTTCAACACCGGCCAAGAAGCCTTGAGTCCCCTGACACTGCAGGCCGGAAGACCGGCCAAGCCGTAGTCACCTCAAAATAAAGGGTAGATCTATATAATTTCATGAACCTACCTGTCGTATCATTCATTTATTAAATTTATCACATTTCATAATGTCTGAAATACGTATTACATTTCAATTTATCATTTTTTTATCGATAGATTAAAAATGATTCACTATTTCCCGCGATGTTATTGAAAATAAAATTCTCGGACACCCTTAGACAGCGGGTCCACATTGAACATGTCAAAGAGCAAAATAAAGACATTTCAGGCAAATCTTTAAATATAGTATACAAAGTGATGAATAAAATCAACCAAAATATATTTATAAGTTGTCAAACTTACAGCTAAGTTATTATTTCCATCTTTTCATGCGATTGCGTGTAATGTAATTCAAATGACATCTCGGCTTTTGTCGCCTCGATTTCTTGGCTCGGATACGATGTTTCCAATATGCCTTAAAAACCTTTGTCACACAGCCCCTAACCTAGCACGATACATCCACGAAATTCCATGTTTTTAATATAGATCGTGAGTTTACTGCTTGAAACGTTCAGAATAACAGAAACCTTTCAAAAAAAATACACACGTTCCATTGTTGTAATTTGAGTGACAGCCTTAGGTCATGTGCTCTTGTTTGACCAATCAACACCCTTGCAGCAGATATCGGCAAGAAAGCACGTTTTAGCTACGAAAAGACTCTGGGCGAGGTTAGTGTAGATGAAAAAATAAGCTTTCTAATACGAAGCTTCGAAAACGGACGTATTTCTTCATGTTACTGAGTGGGCAGCCGCTGGTATCGGGAAATTGCTGATGACAGATACTATTTACAATTATTTTTAAATGTTTTTCTGATCACGTAAACAATGAAAAATAAAAAATAAATAGGTAGATCTAAGTGGATTTTATGATTGATTATATTTGACAAAAATCGTCAAATTTTCGCTTCCTTGGTCCTCAATCTGGACGTTTAAATGTGTTAGCTTACATTTGTTTTAAGTTGCAAATGCTTTATTTAAATAATGTGATAAACATAAATATGTATAACAGTAGGATTAGACCTTTCAAATGGTGTATAACATGTAGTTGCAAAGATGTTTTACTAGACTGACATTTAGTCTATGAAATCTTATATTACACAATAACCTTCTCGACAATTTCTCCTATGCTGATTTCCTAGCCAGAGCTGGCTTGACTTGCTTTTGTATACGTTTCTAGATTGGTGTTGTTTTCATAAAATAAATATATTCCACAGTCATGGTGCAGGACTAATGTTTTACAAGCAGATATTTTCCTTGATAAATGTTGGCTTCATCTATCACACAAGAGTCTCTGGGAACTCGGTGTCACAGCAGTTAAAGCTTCTGGTTGACTGGTGTTGAAAGAGGCAAGTGGCTAATCTATGAAGATTCAAAGATGTTTTGTGTACACACATAAAAACAGACACTTAAAGATTTTAACCACATACTTATATATGCTCAGAATGGCCTAAAGTTCATCATTTCAGGTCCACATTTAACAAAATTACTTTTTGGGGGGGGGGGGGGGGGGGGGGGGGGCATGCCCCCCAACCCCCCTGGATAGCTTCGCGCCTACCACACTTGTGGCTATCGCATCCCAGGGGACCCCATTATTTTGGAGAACAACGCAAACACTGTGAACTGATTGGCAGATGGTACCAACTCACCATGAACTCGCCTTGAAATGAACATTGGTCATTTAAGATACAAAGTGTTCCTATCACTGCAATAAATATTATTTTCAGTTGTGATATTAAGTATTTCTTATTCTAAATCACCCCAAAATCGTGGAGAAAATGTGTGAACAGCTGATTGTTATTTCCAACTTATTGTACAAGACAATTAGAAACGTAATGTTATTCTCTGTTCTATAAAACAATGTTTAGCATACAGTAAACAAATACTGTTGAATTTGTAAATCATCATTGTGATGTTTTTTTGTAAATTTCACCAGTGACAGCACCTACTAGAGCATCTCTTGCTTCATCTGCACTTGCTAAAGAGCCTCCTGCTGTACCTCCAGTTTTGCATGCACCTGCTACAGTGCCTCCTGTTATATCTGTGCAATCATCGTTTTCTGTGACTCAGAATAACAGATCATTAATTGTGCCTTAGGTTTTAGTGGCATGAGGACAAGGTTGGCTTCACAATTCCTCCAGTGTCCTTGTAATATCAACCCATGACCAAGATGAATTGGTCTTCAGCACTCACGGATAGAAATTAACCTAGAAAATCTTCTAATCCGAATAATGATAACATGCAGAAACATCCCCCAAAATTTTGAATTCTACTATACCTTTAACAATAGTGAAAATGGCTTTGGCTAGTGCTAATTCTATCCCTGCTTTTTGTAAGAAGCGACTAACGATTTATTTTTAGACCATCATAATATAGCTGTAATATTACTAACTGTAGCTTTAAACAACAAACAAACAGACAAAAACTCAGAACTTAGGGACAAAGTTTTGCAAAATCTTTCTCTTAAGGGGACTTGGACTAAGCCAATCCTCTGCCAAGCTTCCCAAGGACTATGTTTCCTTGCAGAAGCAGATGTGCACCTACACTTCCAAGCTTCTCACCTGTTGCCATTCATCTCACCTTCCTGTAGACAATAATATTTTTTGATAGGGTGCATCACAATGTTTGTCTCTCGCTGATGCCTTCACATCTTGTGACTTCCTACTTATCAGGACTGATAACTTTTCTGCAAGGATCAAGAATCCAGAGAAGCTGTTGTATTATCCATAATTTTTTAATTTGCCTCTTATCTGTAAAAAATCACAGGACCCTGGTGGACATGGTGGAAGTTAGGGTACATTCCTTGGAAGGGACTACGACAAAAGTCCTTACAAGGATAGTAATAATTGACAGTAATGTGAAACTTCCTGTATTATGTACTTATCATGGTACGACAAGGATAAGGTGCTTCCCTCATCCTGGTTCCCATCCATCCTTGGCAATATGAAACATGGAAGATTTTTGCAAGAGGAGGATCAAGGGCAGTAACTCCGAATTATTGCCCCTAGTCTGTGGGTGCCTTTGGGCATTGAACTGTTTTTAGTCTGTTTTGAGTACAGAAGATAAATAAGAAATTGCTTACTGTTTTGTCAGGATAAGTATATAAAATATGAAATATTCTGTAAGATTACATATTTAGGCCATGTTTAATCAGTCCCAAGATAAAGGCATTCCAGGATTATGCTTTGTTTGCAGGCTCAGAAACCTTGGGGAAAGAAGCTGACTAAAGTTCTGACTGCCAGAAAGGATTACCACAATGTTTGTCGCCAGGAGAAGAGCACAGCTAACCAGGAGAACAATGCTCGTGCGGACACAGCAGTGTCCCCAGATCAGGTCGGTCCACCTGCATTCAACACCATAAGATTACGATTGAAATATACACATGATCATTTCTAGTTGAGATAAATTCAGCAATGTTATTGTGATCCAAATATAAGTAAAATGTTTATTTTTATATTTTTGTTTGTGCAGTGATCAACAAAGCTTTTCACCTATTATTAACATTGATGTCTACACAACAGATGTATATATTTGTCACCTATGTAAGGTTTTTTCCCTTTATTTCAAGTTGTCATTTATAATTCAGAATCGTCCATGAACGATCACATTTCTTCTCTGTATCAAGTTACTATTTTCTATCCCAGAATGCAGTATTTTTTCTACAGAGCATGCTCAGTACTACGGACGTGACATCATTTTGTTTATCTATATTAACAACAAGAGCCTCAATGTCGTTCAGCTGTTTCCATTGTTCTCTCAGCTGTCACTACGACCCTCCATCCATCTCCACCAAGGGGCTGGCTCGGAAGGGGCTTTGCTATCATTAGATGGCTTGCGGCCCCCAAAGCATTTTCATTTTCACTCATACCCGCAGGTTATCAAACTTTTTTTAACGAGTTTCATTTCACTCACACCCCCAGGTTATCACTCTTTCTACTAACCCGCCTGGTCTCTTAATTACATTGCCCGCAGGGCAACCTTTCTTATCTGGTATAACCTTTTTACTTTAGATCTACCCGCAGGGTTCTAAATCATTTTCATATATATTTCAAATTTACTTATGCAACCCACAGGGCTGCCTTTTTATACTACTTACCTGCAGCGTAAGTTACCTTTCTAACACCGAGTCAGCCCCCAAATCTTATGCTATGTCTTGTATATAATAAACATTTGATTGTACTCAATTAATTGTTTTGGTTGTCACTGCACAAAATAAGTTTTTAATAACCTATGGGATAACCTTTTGAATAACCACACATTTCAGCTGAAAAAATTGCAAGAAAAGCTGCGGAAGCTGCAGGAAGAAGTGAACGTAACCCGTGACAAGTACCAGGCATCTTTGAACGACCTCAACAGTTACAATGCCAAGTACATGGAGGACATGACAGAGGTAGGTCACTCTCCCTCACATCTGGTATCATCTTGTTGGGATATTCTACACAACAGGGCCTTAAGGATTGTGTCATCTGCAACACATCTGCTCTCAAATATGCATATTTTTTTTACAGAAATCTAATTTACACAAGAAAATATAATCTGTCATGTAAATTTTCAGTTTTAGTAGGAAGCACTTACAAAGGTTCCTTCCAGTTTGGTTTATAAGTTGGTCCGGCCCTTACTGGAGGATGGTGATACATTAGATTACCTGGTTCTACTCTAAAGTCTTTTACTTTATTTTGCCAAACATTGGGAATTTTGTAAAACTTCAGTGTAGTTATGCGGTAGTATCAGAGTCCCCAGAGAATATATTAAAAAAGAAAAGTCTAGAAAGATTTGGCAAGTCTTGATTGCTTTGGGATTGTTCTAGGCTCCATTTGGATTTTATTCTTTAATTAGTAGATTTTGATTTTTAAACAAGAAAACTTATTTCTGGAACTAAATGTCATTGTAGCTATGCAGGGACTCCACAGAATTTTATGTTAAACAGAAATATTTGTAAAAGAAATTGCCCTCTTTATGGGACAAATTAGTTTTATTGTAACAGGTATCAGTACAAGTGTTGTGTAGGATGGCAAGTTATGTCCCCTTACGTTTAAACATGGTCTATGATTAACAGTTACATGATTTTGGCTATTCATATTCTAAGTTTGTTCATAATACCAGACCATTCCTTTTGAATCTCTGATGCTTTAATAGGACTTCATGTTATGAATACAGTAGACTGAAGTAGAACAAATGATGAATTACATATAGATTACCGGTATGCTTTTTAAAAGGATTTTCAGTGTTGTCAGTCACTGTTTGCGTTGTTTGCATTTGCAAAGAAAGGAAATGCACTGTGCTTTATGGATTATTAGTTTACATAATCAGATTGCTCATGTCAGTGACTAATTTCAAACCACGTTTTGGTGATGTCCTCCCATGAAACAGATGTCCCATCTGTCAGACAGCTTGGTTTGGTCCAACAGTTGGCGACATAAAAACAGAAGAGCATTGATTCCTTCACATTTTAATCCACATTCAACAACGTGATTTGGCACATTTAATATAATCAATATTAAGAAAGTGTATTTATAGTTAGTCATAAATACATTCCAGAAAATGTACATCCCATAGGTTATAATTATATTTAAAAAGATGTACATTCCACATGTCATTTCATAAGTTTCTTAACCCAAGTTCAGCAAATGCCCCATCGCATCAGGTACTGCATTGGTGATTTCTGGCCTCCTTGCAGTTGAGTTTGAGTCTTGTTATTCTATTCTCGATTTTCCGGTTCACCCTCATCCTGCGTCAAAGTCTAGTTGTAAAAGTTACAGCACCATCGATCTTTTGGATTATTTCCACAAAGCGGTAAATGTTAGGATGCTGATGCGGAAGCTATCACCATAGTCATGGTTCAAAGGGCACACCTAAATCTGTAATGGCACGGTGAATTCCTTACCTGCGTGCCCCTTTGGCACACTTAATTTTTCGATGAAAGTGACTGACGAGTATTTCTGTTGATAACCATGACTCATATGTAAAAATAATTGTTATAAATATGTGCAAAAACTCTTGAACTCTTTCAACACTGAGTCCCCTGACACCGCAGGCTAGTAGACTGACCGGCCAAGCTGTAGTCATGTCAAAATAGTTTTTAATTTTATGAACCTACCTGTCATATCATTCATTATTAAATCTGTCACGTTTCACAATGTCTTAAATACATATTTTATTTCAATTTTTTTTTTTTTATCGATAGATTAAAAGATTATTCACCAGATCTATTTCCCACAATGTTATTGAAAATATGATTCTCGGACACACACTTTGACAATGGGTACACATCGAACAAGTCAAAGAGCAAAATAAAAACTTGTCAATCAAATCTTTAAATATATTATACAAAATAATGAATAAAATCAACCTAAATATATCTACAAGTTGTGAAACTTACATCTAAGTTATTATTTACATCTTTTCATGCGATCGCGGTAATGTGAGTCGAATGACATATCGGCTTTTGTCGCCTCGATTTCTCCACATGGACACAATGTTTAATGCCAAAATATATGCATGAAAAATCCTTGTCACATCTCGTAACCTGGCACGATACATCCACAAGGTTTCATTTTTTTTAATATGGATCGCGATTTCCTGCTTAAAAAATGTTCAGAATAACACGATTTAATAAATACCTTTCGTTAAAATCTGACTTTCATCATACACGAGGATGGTACCATTGCTGTAATTTGATTGGCTGCCTTAGTTCACTTGCTCAAATTTGACCAATCACGATTCTTGTAGCCGATTTTGGCAAGAAAGCGTAATTAGAAACCAATAAAATTGCATGTTACAGCAATGTAAAGACACCAGGTGAGTTTACTATCGTGCAGATGACAAAATAAGGTTTGTAGATTAATGGTGTGTCACATGGCACGTGTTATTCTTACTGAATTTACACAGTTTATTTTGTCATCTGCACAATAGTAAACTCATCTGGAGTCTTTACATTGCTGTAACATACGATTTTATTGGTTTCTTATGACGCTTTCTTGCCAAAAGCTTGGAAAACGGAGATAATTCTTCATGCTACTGAGTGGACAGCCGCTATTATTGGGACAATGATGATTTTATTTATAATTCTCTTTAAGATAATTTTCTGATTACGTAAAAAATAAAAAAATAAAATATAGGTAAGTGGATTTTATGAAATCTTATATTTGCTGAAAATCGTCAAATTTTCGCTTCACTGTGGCTCAGTGCATACAGGGGAAGAGGGCCAGGAGATGGTCCATACCCTATCGACACAGCTACAACTGTAACTGATCAGTGCACAGCTACTTCCAGTTGTGAACAGTAGCTATTAAATCTTGAGACTATTATAATTGGTATTTAACTAAGATTCAAAGGCAACGAGTAACGAGAAATTAGTAACTTGAGTGATGTGTGTTTGAATTGTCTGATTGATAATTCATTCTAAGTATAATTTGACTTGAATAAACGCCATGACAGTCGCTTGACTTGTATTTGAATTTATGATTAACCATCAAAACAGTTTAGAAGCCAATCATGTATTTCCTGGCACACCTAAAAATGTGATGGCACACTTAATTTGGCATAACTGTGCCTTTTGGCACATTTGAAATAATTTTAATTACGATCTCTGGATGCCAAAATATATGGATGAGAAATCTTTGTCACAGCTCGTAAACTAGAACGATATGTCCATGAAGTTCCATATTTTTAATATGTTGTGATTTCCTGAACATTCAGAATAACATGATTTAACCATAACCTTTCGCTAAGCCTAAACATCATACACGAGGACGGTTTTCATTTGATAATAATTTTCTGATAATGTAAACAATGAAATAAAAAAAATAATAGCTAATCATGAATCATGGAAATTGCCGACAAATCACAACTTCCACCTCACATATCAGGTACCCATTCCCTGCTGGGAGAACTGACTCACATTTGAGCAATGTAGGTGGATAGTGTGAAATCTTACAATTGCCTGAAATCACCTCAATTTTCATTTCCTTTTTGCTTGATCTGGCAATATGAATGTGTTAGCTTACATTTTTTAAATTAAAAAGGAATTAAGTTAAGTTGTAAAAGAATTATTTAAATAATATTAAAATATATAACTATCATATTTATGAACAGGATTAGGCCTTTCATATGGTGTATCATACAGTATCAAAGATGTTTTACAAACTGATATTTTCACAGATAAATGTAGGCTTCATCTATCACCCCAGAGTCACTGGAGCACAGCAGCAAACTCTTCTGGTAGACTGGTGTTGAAAGAGTTAATTATCATAAACTAACACTCAAATGTAACTTTAATCATTACTCAGTAAGATTCGCTTGAAGGTTGTACACATTATAATTGTGTTGTTTTTGTTATACTTAACTGAACATTGTAAACATACTTCTTTGTTAAAACGGAAGTGGAGTAGCTCACAGCAAAGACCTGGATGCCATTCCACACATAGGTAGACTGTGTGAAGCAAATTTCTGGTGTCCCCCACTCTGATTTTGCTGGAATATTGCTAACAATGGCGTAAAGCGATAAACACTCCTTACTCTTTGTTATAATTGTTTGTCATGATACATTCTGTTTCTCAATGGGGAATGTATAGATGATCAGATTCCAGGATCACTTTGTACTCATATGGGCATGCAACCAAATCTTTGAGTGTCAGGCATCAACTGATGGGCTAGCTACCACCCCACATGTTCTCGAAAGCATTACTCGGAGGATGTTTAATATCTAGAGAAAAACATTATTTATCTGATCCTTGTTTTGAGCTTAATAGACAAAATGTGAAATATGTCATGTAATATGATCAACCTGGTAGAATATACCATTTAACCTACCAACTACGATATCAGTATGCAATGTGCAGGGCAAGGCTTTGCATCTAAAGGCTGAGTTACATATGCCACCACTTGACCCTGGTGTCATGATGACGCACATTGTTTGCTTTATCCTGTTTCCATACTTCAGTTTCCATGTTATTTGAGCAAGTCATTATACAATTAGGTTTGTTTAAGGTTTATACACAAACCTTGTGTTGTGTTTGCCACACTGATCTGACAAGACTTCATATTTGCTTTAGATATGTATTGCAAGTACATGAAGACTTGTAAATTAATTCATGTCCACAAAACTATTTTGAGACATCATTATTATGGCAGATATTTTTTACAAAGTGGTGGGTAATTATCAAACATTACCTGCAGTATGTCCACAGTGTACCCACGTAAAATTTGGTTTATCCCAATGAAATAGACAATATCTTGATCTCATTCCAATAAGTAGAACTTACAGATAAAAAAAAGAGAGTTAAATTTGGATAACACGAAAATTGTAGTATTTGGACAGGAGGTCTTCTTTCGAAAAAGGATACTTGCCATTAAAAAGGAAAAGTATTTGAAGTTGTACCCATCTACAAATATATTGGTCTACTCTTTAATTCTTCAAATAAGTAAAATTGACATTGTTTAGACCACGGTATTTTAAAAGATATTTGAAACGCAAATACAGCCAATCCTACTGTATGGTTCTGAGGTGTGGGGACAAACCCCAAATGCAATAGTAATGGAGAAACTGGTTGCTTTCCGTTTTATAAAAACTCTCTCCTTAGAACAATAAAATAATGTCTTAAAGTAGTTTATATGCACTAAGACAGATTACCTAAAAAGGCATATAACATGTTGGTGCATTTAGATAATTATGGTCAGCACAAATGGGCCTTTAAAATCCGTTCATTACTTTTTCGCATGGTTTTGGATTTGTCTGGATATCTCAAACAGTTGTTAAACAACTGTCCTTTCTACACTTATTCAAGGATCTTTTTCCATAACTGGCACTCTCTCCTTAATTCAAGTTCACATTACTATTTATATAAAGATATAATCTTGTCTAAAAGAAACTTTAGAAACATTCTCTATATATAAGAAAAACAATGGAGGGAGATATTTAGCTATTGACAGATCACAAGAATATGTCCGTATAGATGACGAACACCACTTTTGTTCATTATGTGATGTTGTTAGAAAAGTATATATCTGCCAGAAACTTTCTGGAAATATCCAAGCTTTAATACCTTTAAGTCTATTTTGGCCACTAACAATGAATGTTTATTAAAAGATTAATCACATTACTTATGATATGCTTGAATGAAAGACACAAAATCTGTTGTTTTGAACTGACATTGTACTTGTGTGTTTGTATTCATGTATTTTTGTATCCATGTATTGTATAATATACTTGCTCTGTGTATATGGTTTGTAGTTGGACCTGAGGCCTTCATGCAAAGAAACTTCTTCTTATAGAGAATATTGCCAAGGCCCACAACATATTGACAACATGATAATCCCATCAAATTCTTAATTAGGGCCATAAAACAAACACTTATTTTTTGCAGAAATCCACGGGTTGTTTGCATCTTCAGTTATTCACATTATAGTTGTGAAATATTTGTAAATTTACAACAGAACATGATAAGGAACTTTTGCATTGTAGTGTATTTCTTTGTAGTGTATACATAGATATGTTTCCAGCAATAGATGATTTCTTGTTCAGACTGCAATGTCAGTGATGCCCCTTTTGTCATTCTGTTGTAATTTTTCCAGCACCCCCCACCCCTCATGCAAATATGAATGGTGCTTGAGCAATATAAAGAAAATATACTTACTGTATATACTGTCCACACATGATACAATATTACATAAATTGCCTAAAAATGAATTGTTTTGAATTGTCAGCTTACAGTTCTCTGTGATTTCCAATGTGCTGTTGATCCTCTTTCAGGTTTATGAGAAATGTCAAAATTTTGAGAAGATGCGAATAGACTTTTTGAAGAAAACATTGTTTCAAATGCATTCCTGTTTGGATCTATCTGTTGATTCCAGGTGAGAATGTGTTGATGTGAATTTGTTTATAATTTTAGAAGTGATAAAGGCAACAGCAATGCATTACTTCATCCAGAAATGATGAAGTGTTTCTCAGAAACTGTTTATACCAAGACATTGTTCATTAGGATTTAAAGAATATCACATTGAGATCATTTTAAACATTCTTGCCTCTGAACATGCTTGCATCAAGCAGACTACATAACAGAGACAATTACCAAGCCACACTTTACTTACTTGATGGCTGAAGATTTCTTAAAAAATAACATTCAGCTCACTTTTAAAATAACTGGTGTCTTGATGCTAAATATCTGAATTTTTTACTTATCCTGTATTACTCCTTAATGCATCTACTGCTTACCTTATGACAGAAACAGCACCTTGTGATGGTCCTAAACTGAAGAAAAAGTTGTTTCCAGTCAAGTCTACTTCTGTCTGAGGACCAACTGGCACAGCTGTCACATAATCGCCGAAAGTGATGTCACGTCTCACCACATTCCTGCTTGTCATCAATAAGACATGTTGTGTCTTACTTTGGTCCTCAATATTTGGCTTGAATTTGTTGTCATTTGTACTTTGCTTCGACATTAAATTTCTTCTGTGACAGATGGAGTATACTGTTATCTTATCATTATGCTTCTATTTGTGTTCAAATATGCATTTATTCCACGTGGGAAGACCGTTGTCTTCATCACTCATGTGGCTTGTTGTTTTCCCACCATTTTGAATTTGCTATGCGTGTCTCGTTTCTTTCATTCTAGGCAGTCATTACAATTTTCATTTGGCTAAGGAGTATATTCTATTTTTAATAAATACCTTTTGCCACTCGTGTTATTTAACACATTAAACTCAATTTTTATGACTTAAACTTTGGTTTTTCTATCGGTGTTTACAAGTCTGTTTTTCACAATACAACTTCAATTTTCACGTGTAATTTATACTTGCATGTTGCATTAACTGTCGTGGCAAAAAATCATCCTACATCCACGTTGCATGAATTTCACAAATTGCGCCCCGAATTGGAAATATTATTTTTGTTTGCCTATCTCCCAGTCTAGTTTTTCAACTTATAGACAGGTTACACATACACATATAGTGCAGCAGTAGAAGGATGTCAGACTCGCAGGATGTTTCCTGCCATTAATCTCCGGCTATCACCACCCAACCCTCTACTTCAGGTTGGGCGTTACTGACTGTTCCGGGATGACTGACATTCCTTTGCCGCCACAACACACCATGACACCAGACTAAATTCCTTACCTGTCTCCAACTTTCAGGCGTTGCTGGCCTCCACTGTTACTTTCAAGCTGTGCCATCGCAGGTGCCTTATGGTGCTACTGCCAGGCTCCTGTATATGGACAAGGCGTTAGATGAAGATTTCGACCATGCTAAAGATCCCAGATGTTAGGATCACCTTCATCAAGACTGAGGTCAGGCAGTCACTCAAACCCTTGTTGGTTTTGGTGTCTTCATCCCAGGCCATGGAGCAGGACTTGACTGAAACTAATGCCAATAGTCTTGACCACCTTCAGACAGTGGTGGACTTTCAACAACGGCAGATAACGCACATGAGGAATCACCTTGGGGCATCCCTTGCGGAGATTACAGCTACCCGCCGGCTTGGCTACTTGGCCCTATTGAATTGGAATTCCTGAGTTGAAACGTCGTCTCCTCCGACAACCGTGGTTGGCCTCCTTGTTGTTCAACGATCAGGTACTCCCATTCCCATTGGGCATGTTCTGGCTATCACCTGGACATAGTGGTAGATGCACTGTTGACCACGGCTCAACCACCTTGGTTCTACCCAGGCGCTGACACCAGGCTTTTATTCTCCCATCTTTCTAGTACCCAAGAAGAACGATGGGGATGATTCACAATCTTTCTGTGTTCAACGAGTGCTACCTGGAGCGTCCGCCATACCTCATACCTCACAACCTTGAAACTGCTCAGGACCAGTATCAATGCTTACAATTTCCAGATCAGTATCAACCTGCAGGATGCTTACCTGCATGAACCTATCCATCCCTCCGACCGCAGGTTCTAAAGGGCGGTCTTGCCCTTTGGAATTTCAGTGGCTCAGTGGCTATTAACATGAATAACCAAACCAGTAGCTGCCTTCCTACACCTGAGGAGCATCAAGTTGGAGTCGTACATAGACGACTGTCTCCTGAATCATCCCGACACGGCTACCCTGGTTCTCCATCGGGACTTTACCAGGCACCTACTGTATCAACTGGAATGGGTGGTCAATGAGGCGAGGTCGGAATTGATTTCATCTTACCGACTCCAGTTTATAGGAAGCCTGTTCCAGACAGATCAGGACCTACTATCAGTGCCACGGGAGGGGATGGCTCAAGATCCTAGCCACATGTCACCATCTGTCAGTGGCAAGTGTTGTTGGGATTGCTCACAGTCACATCAGCCCACTCACGTTTTTCTGCCTGCTGTACTACTTCCCAGGGTGATACACAAAATAAAAGCAACCAAGAGCCTTACTCTGATTTTGGTCGCGCCCTGGTGGATGGCAAGGGGGTGGTTTGTAGATCTCAGAAATCTTGCAGAAAACAATCCGCTCCCCCTGCCAGAGTGGTCGAACCTACTCATCCACCCTCACAGCAAACTACCTCACCCAACACCAGGCAGATTTTTGTCTGCACGCTTGATTCATCTTAAAAGAGTTCTGAGTGCTAAGGGATATTCGGCTCAGGCAGCTAAAGCCATTGCCTTGGCACACCATCCATCTACCTGGGGGCTATATGATGATAGATGGAGATCATTTGAAACTTTTTGTAAGGTGAAAATTGAAGATCCTAATACAGAATCACCGCAATTCTTGCATCTCAACCTATGTACTTGGACGCTCTTAATTCAGTGTTGGCAATTCGAGAGAATCATAAGATGACCAAACTTCCGGAACTACAAGCTTGAGGATCAGTAGGTCAAATTCTGTCCCCCTGCTTGGGATTTGAATGTGGTTCTTGGAGGTTAGAGCCCCTCCACACAACTTCCTCCTTCCAGCTCACCAAGAAAACAATATTTCTCTTGGCTTTAGCCACAGCGGCGAGGGTTGGGGAGTTATATGCACTTAATATTACCCGGGCCCGTTTTGAGCATGGTACGCAGGGAACAGTTCACCTCGGGCTGTGCTGGGATATTTTAGCTAAGAATACCAAACTACCAAGACAACACGACCGGTCCTTCACCACTCCATCAATCTCTACGATTGTGGGGTCGAAGATGAGGAAGAACTCATCTTTTGCCCTGTAAATGCACTACAAGTTTTTATCCGCCACTCTAAGACTAGGCATGGGATGCGGAAACGGTTGTGTCCAGTATCCCAGACGTCCATGACCATAGTAAATCACAACACCATGTCACTATGGTTATGCGTAGTCATCCTACAGGCACACGAAATTGCAAAACTTGATCCTCCGAGAGCGAACACAATCCTCACGAGATTAGGGCTGTTGTCTCAACAGTGGCTCTACATCGCCACTGTTCCATCAGAGCAGTCATGGAAAGATGTTTTTGGAGGTCTGACACTGCCTTCGCCAGCCATTATCTAATAGATGTGGCACTTGAAGATGTCTAAGGCGTTCACAGCTTTGGCCCTCTGGTTAAAGCCCAGCAGGTAACCAACCCCCGACACAAATACTGAACTCCTCATGTCTGGAGCCAGATGTATTAAGGAGTAATGCAGGATAAGTAAAACATTTAGTAACATCTAAATATTTTTTTTACATTTGTATACTTATCCTGCATTACTACGTCTTAAAGGACCGGTGAAGATCTGGGGTAGAATAAGTCTTCGTCAACTCATGCTTGCCATAAGAGGCGACAAGCGGGATGTTCTGGCTCGCTGACTTAGTTGATGCATGTCATCGTATCCCAATTGTGTGGATCGATGCTCATGATGTCAATCACTGGATTGTCTGGTCCAGACTTGATTATTTACAGACTGCTGTTATATAGCTGGAATATTGCTGAGTGGGGCGTTAAACAACAAACAAGCAAGCAAAACGTCTAAGGGCCCACCTGTCGCAGAACTGCCTCCCCACTATAGCTTCAAATCTTTTTTACCTGTGACAAGCAGAAATGTGGCCAAATGTGACATCACTTCTGGTGATATAATGACGGCTGTGTGAGTTGGTATTCAGACAGCAGTAGACTTGACTGGAAACAATTTTTTCTTCAGTTTAGGACCATCCCAAGGCACTGTTTCTGTCATAAGGTAAGCAGTAGATGCATTAAGGAGTAATGCAGGATAAGTATACAAATGTATACAAGGAAAACTTCAACTTACTTGATAAAGAATACTTGTGAAATTACAATTTGTAAAAAACAAACTTTAGGGAAATAATAATAATTAAATTTAATGTACCTAGTCTCTCTACCTAATTTTCATTTATGTCAAATCAACTATGTTTTTATTTTCAGGTATGCTAAGCTGTACACAGACTTGCATTCTACAATAGGTAACACTGACCCAGATAAGGACTTGAAATGGTGGTCTGCAAACAATGGTATAGACATGGCAATGAACTGGCCTGCATTTGAGGTAATTTCTTTGGGTAATAGAAAAACTTTTGCATTATCTTAGATGAATTATAGGAGGATCCTCTGATGAAAATGGGAGGCAAAATTTCACCATCCTGCACATTGTGGGTTTTGCTTTTGCTGTAGTGGTGTACAGCCACTCATGAGGGATCTCTTTCTTGTGAAAAGCAATCTACTTTATTTACAGACTGCTCTCGGACAGCTGTAATACTGCAACCAAACACACAAAAGATAAATTTTTCTTGTCCAGACAAAACACCCTGCAATTTCCATTTTCACTTTGATCATGTAACACAGAATCCAGAACATTCTCCTTGTTTATCCAGGGCACCCCTTGCCCTGGGTTACCAATCTGGAATTATCTGTCCTTGATCACTCATTTTCATTTTCCTTCACTCGCAAGGAGCTTGATGCTCACAGATGCCTTTCTAGGAGGTTACTGCTAACCTCCATGACAGCTAGCTTCAGCATCACCTGCACTGTCTTCTATGAGTGCCGACTGGAGCACGAGCACCAGGTGAAACACAAGCGCTGGCCAAGACAAGGAAGGTGCCGGCTGGAGCAAGAGCACGTTTGAGTGCTGGCTGCAGCATGAACTGTGACTGGTTATTAGGTTGGCACTTAGTCTGGGTCGAGGCACAGTTTTGACTCCTTCAACACGATCCTACCATAAGAGTTAGCTGCTATGAAACCAAGTTCCCAGTAACTCTGGGGTAGAAAATATCAGCTTGTAAATCATTTTTGATACTGCATGTCATACACCATTTAAAAGGCCTAATCCAACTGTTTATTAATATGATAGTTATTTCTATAATACAAGTTAAATAATTCATTTACAACTTAAATTCATTTTTAATGAAAATGTAAGCTAACATGTTCATAATGTCAAGATTAAGCACAGAGGAAGCGAAAATTGTGGTGATTTTAAGCAATTGTAAGGTTTCACCATATCCATTTACTTAGTTCAAATGACTTTTCACCCAGGAGGGAATGGGAATTTCTTTCTTTTTTATTTTCGTTGTTTACATAATCAAAAAATTATGATAATTTTATTATAATCTATCATCACCTATTATCAAATAGTAGTGGCTTTCTGTTCCTTCACATGAGAAAATACCTCCGTTTTTTAAGCTTTGTATGAATAAGTGCAAAGATTCCTTCGATGTTTGGACATCCATAATATTAGAGTAGCCTTGCCCGGGGTATATTCTTAATTTGCTAAGTGCATTTTTATTGGATAGAAATTGGTTTCTAATGATGTTTTTTTGCTGTTTTCTGCTGTAAGGATTGATTGGTCAAATTGGAGCATGCGCCCTAAGACAGCCAATCAAATTACAGCAATGGATACTATCCTCATGTGTGATAATTTCAGCTTTAGATGAAAGATTTTAGTTGAATCGTGTTAATCTGAACTTATTAAGGATACAATATGGAACTTCTTGGACATATCTAGGTTACTAACTGTGGCAAAGATATCTTATGCATATATTTTGTCATCAAACCTAGTGTCCAAGTGTGAAAATTGAGGTGACAAAAGCTGAGATGTTGTTTGACTTACATTACAAGATCACACGAAAAGATGGAAATTGTAACTTAGATGCAAGTTTGACAATTTTTTGAGTTTTTGTTGTTGATTATATTCATTACTTTATTTAATTTATTTACAGATTTGCTTCAAATGTCCACATTAAACTCTTTGACTTTTTTTGTAGGGACCTTTTGTCGAAGCATGTGTGCCAGAATTTCTTTTTCAATAACATTGTGGCTGTGGGAAATAGTTAATAAATTTAAATCTATCGAATGAGGACATTTCGACATTTTCAGGTATTGTGGAAACTGATAGATTTAGTAAATGAATGATTTAACAGGTAAGTTAATAGAATTATATATTATTTTGATGTGACTACGGCCTGGCCGGTAAACCGGCCTGCGGTGTCTGGGGACTCACAACGTTGTGGTTGGTATACTAGCCAGCGCTGTTGAAAGAGTTAAAACACTCCAGGCCACAGGCGCTGGTATGGGATCTAGTGTCGATCAAAATCTACTGAATCCCTGGATGGAGCTCAAAGCTTTAATAAAATAGGTTACAGCATCAACCGCTAACTTTTTTCCAACCAGGTTTATCAGGTCACTCCGCAGTTTAGATGGATGCCCTGATGCTGAGATTTCTCTGATGCCAGTACTCACGATCCCAGTACCTGATGTGCCACCTGGTTCCCCTCTTGGGATTCTCTCGGAGGACGGATCAGATACAGAGGAGAAAAGGGATTGAACTTCTTATATGGGTGTGAAACATCCTTGTGTTGGAACCACCACAGCCAAAGAAACCTGGACCTGGGACTTTTTAAACAGCCTATTACTATGAAGTGCTTGATGTGGTTATCCAACTATGGTGTATGGCTATCAGCAAAACCATGCTTTTCTGTCTTACTACCAAGGGCTTTCATGGCTTAAACAGGTTCCTCCACACTGCAGATGGGCCACTGTCTTTTTCATCTGTCCATTGGTGGGTGCTCCACTGGCAACGGTTAATGGTTAGTTCCAGTGACTGCTACACCTGACATGGCCATCTGGATAAGTCATGACACCAGCAACTCTAGTTGTGCTTCCAAAAAGCACTGCTTCAGCAAGTGATAACATCTAAAGGCTCTGGAGATATTCCCTCAACAACTATAGAGACGCTTATGTGTTGGGCGTCTATTACAACTTCGACAGCAGTCCTAATCTGCACAACGTTCCAGAGGCAAGAATGCACTCTCAGGAGGTGTCCCCTGCTATTTATGTTCAAAGAGGCTCTTAGGCTGCATATCTTTGGGCGAGTAAAAATGTCACATAAAAAATCCAGTCATATTATCAAAATCTTATTGCTATTCGCAACAACTTAAAGGTCTGATCCTGTCTTGATCCTCAAATGTTCGCAAAGACAGAATGTGCACATTTTGTAATTTAAATAGGATTGAAGATGAATTTCGTGTCATATTTGAATGTCCATTATATGATGAGATAAGAAAAGATTACATACCGAAAATATTTAATGCTAAGTAAATATTCACTTCATTTCGGACATATTTTATGGCAGCCTCAACAGCCTGCACATTCACACACAAGAAGTTAAATTTGTCGTACTATGGAGAGCTATAGATCTGCCTTATCTTCTGTTTTTCAGCATGAAGGCTTGTCTTTTGGAAATAACTATGTGGTTCAGATGACTTGGTAAACTAGCACTAATTACTAATTGTAGACCCTAGGTGTCCCAAATATTTCTAATTAAGCTAATTAGATTCTATGTGTTGACATTTCTAATTTATAATATATCTTTACATTATAGGAATACTCTCCAGAACTACAGTCCATATCCAAGCGTGGTAAGTCCCAGATAGTCAGTGGAGATGGTATCACCATTACTCGTATTCGCCATAACAGAGAGAGCAGCTATGAGAACTATGGGTCTGACCATGCCCAACCACCCAGCTACAACACAGTGACCACAACCCAGTCCAGGGCCAATGACACCGATACTGCAGCAGCTACAGTTACACAACCACCCAGGTATATATCATATCAGTTGTGTAATTCCTAATTCCTTCCTACATTTCTATCTGCTCTGATCTCATGGTATTTTGTTAATGTAAAGAGGTAGTAAATCATCACAGTGATCGTAGAAGGTGTGTGTATTCAGGCAGCCTAGCTATGATGAGAGTCTCAATCCATTTGGTGATGATGATGATGATGAAAAAGATGAAGGTGGTGGTGAAGATGTGCCAATAACAGAAGAAAAGACGAGTCTAGAATGTCAGCTACTGCCTTCCCCTCCATGCCCACCATGTAAGCAGAAGACCAGCTTTGCAATATCTCCTGCTCAAGACATGCACACTACTTGTGTTGAAGGCCTTTCATCTGACCATCAACCAAGCTGTGAGCAAGCAACATCTACCAACAACCACAAGTATACCATTTTTTCTTTGTGACCTGCACCAGCTCGTTGCATTTGATTTGACTGTCGGGTTTGCTGCATTCAGTCTCCTAGAACCAGGCAGATTAACCTTTGGATGGCAGTTTTGGAGCATGTTAGCTTAGTTGTATCAGATTACCTGAGACACCTGATTACTCTTGACTAATAAGTAATCACATCTGTCCACATTCAGTGCGGACAGAATTTGCTATCTTCCTAATTTATTAACAAATTCATGGCTGCATTGTCTAAACACAAGTAAGACTTTTCAGGCCACCTGGACCTATTGTCCAAGTGAGTTTATGTCATGGTGCTTTGTCAGTCTTCCATCTTATGTAAATCCTTTGGGTCAGCGAGTTGAACTAGATGATCCACAGTATTCCAAACGGATTTCTCTCTGGTAGATATATTGAAGGATGAACATTGTTAGCTCACCTTGGCATTGACAGTGTGAGCATACATTAAGGCTACTATTCATCCTTCTGTCCTTCCAAATGTCGCAAATTTTAATTGATTTAAACAATATTTATTTACATAAAAAAAGGAATGGGATTGGTGAACAGGTTAAACCTATATAAACACCTCTTCCTAAAACGGAATTTAACAATTAATAAGAGTAAACTGTACATAAAGTAATAAATTCAGATTAATTGTACCTACTGTTGCAAATATTATGATGCGTATATACAAGTCAGTGAAGTCACACACAAATACACACATACATATATCGGTACATAAACAAAAAGCATACCAGCATATCACACGTTAACACCTAATTGCATGGATTGATGCTCATGTTATCAATCACTGGATTGTCTGGTCCAGACTCGATCATTTACAGACCGCCGTCATATAGCTGGAATATTGCTGAGTGCTGGGTGAAACAAACAAACACATACAAAGAACTATTTGGTTGATGTAATCGTAAAGAAGACATATTTATATTTTAAATCTTATAGATTTTGCAATGAACAAATGGACAGATTGTAAATAGCATAGTTAGTATCAGTAGATGTTGTAGCATTTCCATATAATACTGAATCCAAGTCATATCATTTTATATATTAGTACAAATTGTTCCAAAGATTGCAGTAGTGGCAACATGAAAAGAAGTAATGTGTAGGATCCTCATAATGATATCCACAGGAGCAGGTAGTAGACTCATGAATATGTCTACGATATTTGTGTGCATTTAAATCAACTGCATCCTGACCTGAGGCGGCAACAGATAATTTGACAGAAACGGGTACCATAGTCTAAGTTAAAGCCACATATTTTTGGATTTTCTGTTCATTTAGTGAAGTCATTTACAGTATATTTTGACTGAACATTATCCGGTAATTCATTCTAATTCGCACTGTGTCAGGTAAAAATGACTAAAAATGAATGGGCCGCTGAGACATTAGGAGGAACAAAATTACATAGATATTCAGGGGCCAACTTGTTAACCATCTTGTAAAATGTTTTTAATTAATGAGATTGCCGTCTTTTGGATAAGGGTGTAAGGTTAGTTTCAGAGTATAGAGACACGTGGCTGGTACCACAAGTAGTTCCACATATTGTTCTCAGTGCGTCTAAATTTAGCCTTTCCAATACCAATGCTTGTTCTTGAGAACAGTCATCCGATACCTTGTCACAATAGTCGAATATTGGTAAAATAAATGATAAATATATATTCTATAACTTTTTTTCTGGACAGGCGGTATTTGAAAGTTCTAAAGCAGTTAATCATTGGGCTTACTTTATCTACTATATTATCTATATAATTTGATCAGTAGCCATCTAGCTGTAAAATTAGCCCGAGGTTTTTGTGTGATGAGACCTATGTTACTGAAGTACCTTTCATTCTAAGAACAGGTTTTTGACTTGGGTTAATTTTTCTTGAAAACATTATGGTTTCAGTTTTGTGTGGATTAAACGTTACTTGCAATTTATTCTCCCATATGGATATCCTTTCTAGATCAACATTTAAATTAATCGCTGCTGTGTCAGGATCATGGACAATAATATAATGTGATGTATCGTCTGCAAAGAGACGTATATTACTGTCTATATCATCAACCAGGTCATTTATAAAGATAAAAAATAATAATGGTCCTAGGACCAATCTCTGTGGAATACCTGTCGTGATAGATTTTAAACTGTTATTCTTTACCATTAATGACCACTTTTTGTATTCTATTTGATAGATAACTGTCAAACCATTTCAACAATTTACCTCGAATTCCACATGAAGATAATTTGTAAAGTATTTCTTTATGCCAAACTTTATCAAAGGCCTTGGTAATGTCAGAAAACACTGCTCTTACTTCTTTTCCATTGTCTAGAGCCTTTGAAATAAAATTATACAGATCTAATAATTGGTAGGTCGTTGAATCGCCTGGTACAAAGCCAGACTATTGATTGCTCAGAATACTGCTGTCTTTGTAGAAGTTCAACACATGTTTATGGATACATTTTTCAAATACTTTTGCCAAAAAACTTGTTTGTATGATTGGTCTATAATTACTGCATTCATTTACATTTCCTTTTTTGTGAATTGGCAATACAGCTGCTAATTTCCATTTTAATGGAAAAACAGAATATTTAAGTGGCATGTTAAAGATTAATGATAATGGGAAGGATATACTTTTAGCAGAAACTTTGATAAGTTTGTTATTTTTACTGTCAGGTCCGGATGCTTTGGTGGTATCAACAGAAAGTAAAACATCTTGAATTTTCCCTGGAGTTAGGACAGTATGATCCAACGTGTTAGAACACTCAGTACTTACAGCTGGCAATGTTTTTGACGGGAATTTGACTGTTGATTGTTCAGAGAAATAGTCGTTTAAAATATTTGCTTTACATACATCATCCTCATAAATCTTATCTTTATATATAACAGCTTGGATTTTTGTTTTTGAGGAGGCTCTTCACCAAACTTCAAGTTTAAGAGTTTGAAAGTTTTAGAACCTTGGGAATTTCGTGACAACTTGATTTTGTAATTGTTTAAATGTTTTCCAATCCGAGGGATAGTTTCTCTTTTTTGCAGTTTTATGTTTAAGGTTGCGTTTACGCATTAAACGATTGATCTTATTGTTCATCCACGGATTGACCTTACTTCTTACCATAATAATTATACCCCCGACCTTTTTAGGTCGGGGGTATATAGTTATACCAAGGTTCCGTCCATCCGTCTGAAAACTTTGTCCGCATGATTTCTCTTAAACTATTCAGTGGATTCATCTCAAACTTAGTACACATAATCTGTGTCATATGGAGGGGTGCAGTCAAAAGAAATTTTGTTTTTGTTTTTATTAATTTTCCATTTTTTTATGAATTTTTCAAACCCTAACTATCCTAGCTATTTAATTTGAAACTACTGACACACTAGGCGGGTCGGGGGTATTAGTGAGCCACGCTCACTTTTGCACTTGTTTTATTGGGGACGTAAGTAGTGAAGTGAATTCTCTAACTCCATCATCTATGCAATTGCCATTAATGAACTCTTTCCAGTCATTACCATTGAGATCTACTAATAACCCATCAACATTGATAAGATTATAATTAAATATATTTCTGGTATATGCAAAACATTTTGGTTTAGGTATATTAGTTCCTACGAACACTGGACAATGATCACTACAAACAGGATCAAGCACACCAAAGGTTGTTACAATACTATAATGTGATACAAAGATCAAATCAAGGAGCATACTAGAATGGTAGGTTATTCTAATTGACTCAGAGATTATCTGTTTCAGACCATATGCCGTTTGTAGATATTCAATTTTTTGTTTAATTACTCCAAGAAAACCAATGTTAAAATCTCCTGTTATAATTGTATCAATATTAAGGCCTATGGCATTACCTATCGATTTGTCAATAAGATCCCAGTATGAGTTACTTTTGTCTGCTCTATCAAAATTCCAATTAATACACTACAATTTTTGGATATGACCTGGATCCATATAGCCTCAAGTCCAATTATAGTTAATTGGTCCATGTGTTTAACGTGTAAACTATTCCTGACATATATTGCGACCCCATCAACTCTAGTGTTGCGATCAAGCCTAAACGGTAAATGATAGCCAGGAATAGAGACTTGACTATCCAGGATGTAACCAGGTTTCTGTAATACAGATAATATCATAGTATTGAAACTCAATTGCTATGAGGTCTATCTTATCCTTAAGACTACGTACATTTAGTTGAACTATGTTCAGATCTGATAGTCTATAGGGGCCTGGATTTGGGTGGATATCTCCACAGCAGAGTAACATAATCATTTGTAGGATAGCAGCGTTAGAAATTGGCACTAGTCCTGTAGTCTTTACCAAACTGCCCAATAGTAAAGGTATCCTGAGGACTAGTAGAAATTGGCCCATTTTAAGGGTTTTTCTATATGTTATCATTATAAGGACTAGTGGACTAAAACTGTTAGTTTCTAACCCTGGGATAGCGAGGTAGAGAAGATGTCATCTATATAGAATACCCGCATTACAAAAATGTAAACAATTATGGAATGTATGTGTGTTCTGTGAGTACATCGCTGTTGCAAATATGCCCACCGACTGCCTGTTATGTACTATCAACCCCCATCGTTGAAGTTCATTTCAAGCCAAGTATTATATACAGACAGACAATCGGTGATTGGAAGTGAAAGTGTGAAGACGCCTTCAAAAATACATTTGGAAATAACAGTGATGATATACAAGGTAATATTTGCACAATAGGGACAGTAAAACACAAGGATTTGCTGGGGGAAATGTAAGTGATAAATATTAGTTAATTGAACAGTAAGAAAAAAGGAGACAGGGGAAATAATATAAGATATGTTTTCACAAAGGATTGTTGTGAACAGAAGTAATAGATATTAAATATAAAACAAAAATAGATAAATAAATAAAATAATAATATAAAGATTATGTCCATAGTCATCAATAAACTAAGCTCACGCCTGGGGCAAGTCTAGGTATTGGCACACCTGGGTTAATTGCACGGACTGGGCACTT